AAAGACACATTGCTACGGCTTCAAAACGCTGCCCCCCGCCCCCCCCCCCCCCCCCCCCGGATACACCGCCACCGTCTTGGTGTAGTTCTAGACAGGTTCCCTTATTTTCATTGTCCAGCGCTTACCCTCCTTCCCACGCAACCCATTTCGCGAAACGACGCCCCTTGTACTTAAAAGATAAATGTACCCCTGGTGTTAACTCCAAGTAGAGACGGAAACCTTCAGAAATATTTGTACCCATACATGTAACAAGTACATGGACCTGAATAATGCAACAAACGAGCTAGACCTTGTGAATGCGGTACTCTATCATCAAACTTCAGGCAAGCGTACCGCTCAAGGCCCGAGAACAAAAACTAATCTGAATGGCGAGGGATAAAGCTCCGCGGAGTTGGCAGCAGTCCCTATTCATGTAAGGTGTTTGCACTACGTCCGTGGTGTATTTTCGGGCAGTCAAATAACATTTCAGCGGGCTGCTGCGCCACATTCGTACACCGCGTCACATGCCGCTTCGCCGTTGCCAAGCAGATACATACGAATGGCCTTGCGCTGGTGCTTCGGAAGCGATGCATGGCGGTGGCGGGGCAACATGCCAGGGCGCTAGAGCTGAGCAACAGGCGGGGCGGGGGGCGTGGGGAAAGCCCAAGGAGCGTGTGGGGTCTTGGCCCGAGGGACGTTGCGTAATTGGGATGTCGTAAGTTAGTTCTAGGGCCCCAGAGTTAGCGCCAGGGGTTTCAGTGGGAAAGTGGTGAAGGCTGGCAGGTGAGGACTGATTTTATTTGACGTGGGGGACGATGTGATAATTCCACCCAGGTGGTGGAATGTCCCATGTACCCAGACTGCAAGAGGCTTATTGCACCAAGCATGTTCCGCGCAGCCATGGCCATTGTGGCAACAATTTAAGTGCATGTATGTCATTAATCAGAAAGGCTCAGTTTGGTGCATGATTGGCACCAGTGACAGTACATAAACAGCCAATGGTAGTGAATTCTGATCCTGCCACAAGGTAATCTTTGGCCAGAGCACTACAAACTTGACAAAAAATTACATACAAATTCAGTATGGTGTGGCCCAGCCAGAGCTTGCAGCACATGAGCATGAGGTTCAGGGATAATCACTGCACTTGTATACTTGTCCTGAGCTGTGAATGTTTTTTTTCCAAGCTGGCCATATATAGGCAAAATTTGGCTCAGTTTTAGCTTTGTTATAAGGGTGGTATGCCACTGACTTTTTCCTAGGGTGTCAGCAGATTCAGTGGTCTCCTATCCTAACCATGTAAAAACTCCCTAGAATTTGGCCTGCTTTTCAAAAGGTCCCTTATATATTCCAACCTGGATATTGTTGTACTCATGACCCCCAGTTTCAGTCTGGAAGGCAGGTAAGTTTCTCTTCTTATCCTGGAACTTCTATTTTTTAATTTAGGTATAAATTCTATTCCAGGAATTTAAGTTGTGTCAAATGTATTCATCACATGTGTACCACAAGGCACAAAACATCTCAATTCACGGTATATATTTTAAAGTGGATCTCATTGCTATCTTAAGAGGTTTTTATGTGATTGGACCACCCCCTAGATTTGATCAATGGATGGAGGAGCATTAGCATATTTCACATCCTGGAATGCAGGTTGTATCACACCCATCCACATGTCTGGAGACCATCCTTGCAAACAAGCATTCCTGCTGACCTGTTGCGTCAACTAGTTTTGAAGCTATCTGGGCAATTCAGGACAGATCTTAAGATAAATCTGCTTCTTCTACTTCATCCTCATCCTCAATTTGATAGCAATGGGTGGTCTTGCCTCTTACCTATACCATGGATGTGCAAATCCCATGCCAGTTGCCTGAAGATGTGTATGGAAGATTAGATCTTTCACCTCCAAAGTGATAACAGTCAAACAACCACCAAGTGAACTTGGTCAAAACAAACTTGCCACCACCTGGCTTGAGTTAAGATGCTGATTAGATTGGATGAAACCAATCCAATTTGCAGTGAAAATGCTGAATCTTAAGTAATGGGCTCACTGTTCAGTGTGCATAAACAGCCCATGAGCATGAAGTGATGGTAAAAGCTGTCAATTTTGCTAATAATGCCTACAAATGTGCAAATTGCCATACATTGACTGCTGATTTTTTGCAGGGCAGGAATCCAAGAAGACAGCTTCTTCTGTGCTGTAAGAAAACAAGCATGAAGAATTTATGTGCTGGTCTGCTCTACTTGATAGCAATAAACGCCATTGTGCGAGCTCAAATTGACTCCAACTCAACAATCGAAGACGAGTTAGATGAACAGGATTTTGAGGACGTCCCGTATCGCCAATATGGAATTCAGATCACGCCCCGAAGCTTCTTCTCCGCCGAGGCGACCAGGCACTTGCCGCTGAATGAGGTCGTGTCGGGCCAGCTCAGCTCTCGCGACATGCACATCTACGCGGCTCCTACTACACTGCCGGCCCGGCCGGCTCCATGAAGCTGCACGTACACGCGGTGGGCCAACCACTGCCGTCGAGCGCCGCGCCCCTCACCGTCAGCGTGCGCAACAGCAAGGGCGGCTACACTCTCATGTTGCCGCCGAGCGAGTCGGACCGGCGCGGCACCGAGGCCTCGCCCGCCATGAGCGTGTCGCGCATCCTGTGCCCGTCGTCCCTGGCGCGCGATGCGTGCTTCGTGACGGTGGGGGCGGGCGGTGGGCTCGGCCGTGGCGCCAGCATCTACAGCTACAAGCTTAAGCTGTCGGTGCTCAACGAGTCGACGTGGTTCCTGAAGGAGGGTGCACCGCCGCGCGCGATCGTGGTCACGCCAACCACGCCGTCTGTGTTCCAGTACCGCTGGCCGGACGACCCGCAACGTGCGCGCCGTGCGCGTGACGGCGACCAGCGGCACCGCCTCGTGCGGCGGCGGCGAGCCGCTGGCCGAGGAGGCCGAGGGCGACCCGGGCGCGTGCGGCACGATGGCGCTGCAGCGGCCCACGTGCCCGCTGACGCTGACCCCGGCCGAGATGCTGGCCGGGGCGCGCTACCTGACCTTCACCGCCTGCGGTTCGACCATCGTGCACCGCGACGAGCTGCCGGACGGCTTCTTCGTGTCGACGCTGGTGCACGAGAACGACGAAGCCTGCTACCCGGACGGCGATCGCAACGCGACCGGCGACCGGCGCAAGCTCGTCCGCTTGTTGGTGACGGAGCACCACGCCGACTTCTCGTACGCCGCGGCACCGGTGCTGCTGGCCGTCGCGTTCGTGCTGATCGGCGGCATGAGCTTCTTGCTGCGATCGCGCTACGCGGACTGGATTGTGCTCTCGCAGCTCGAGGCAGTGAAGGGGGCCGAGGCCAGCGACGCGGCGGAAGGCGTCGCCGGTGAGTGGATGGTCCACGAGGAAGACCGCCCGGCGGCGACGCGCGGCAGTCTGCTCAGTCCCGCCAGCGTGCTCTTCACGTGCGCCCTGCTCATCGTGGCGTTCGGCGTCAACAGCGTGTACATGGACCTAGCGTCAGAGCGTCGCTCCGGCAACATGGACGCCTGCTACCGCAACGACCTGTGCAGCCACGACGTCGGAGACCTGCCCGACCTCAACCACGTGATCTCCAACGTGCCGTACGTGGGCGCCGGCGTGGGCTTCCTGCTGGCGGTGGGCGCGCAACGCCATGTGTACGCGGCGGCCAGCTCCGGCGCCGCCTCGCCGCGCGGCGTGCCGCACGACTTCGATCTGTTCGCGTCGCTGGGCGCGGCGCTGATGCTGGAGGGTTTCACCAGCGGTCTGTACCACGTGTGCCCCAACAGCCGCAACTCGGACATCGACTTCTTCTTCATCTACTACTTGTACTGCGCGCTGGGCGCCAAGGTGTTCCAGACGCGGCGCGGGGTGACCAATCGCTTCCACTACACGCCGGCTCTGCTGGTGGCCGCCATCACGCTGCTCGGCTCCCTCCAGTACCTGGCCGGCCGCTCCTACGCCTGGTGGGTGGTCGTCGTGCTGGTGCACATGACCGGCAGCACACTCTGGGCCGTCCAGATGTACCTGCGCGGCGACGTCGGCTGCTTCCTGCCGGTGTGCAGGCGCACCACCGCCGACCAACGCACGCGCCGCATCGCAATCGTGAACCTGCTGATGAACCTGACGCTGGCCATCGTAGGACTGGTGGCGCCCAGCGCTTTCAGCGACTTTAGTATGTACGCGCTGCTCTTCTTCACGCTCAACTCGGGCCTCTACATCGCCTACTACTTCGGGATGAAGAAGCTGCGCTACCGTGAGAGCCCCTCTCGCCTTTCCGTGGCCTTCTTGCTGATGGGTCTGGCCGCCGTCGTGCCGGCGCTAGTCGTCTTCGTCTTTTACAACCCGTACAACACCGAGGAGTCGGCCGCGCTGTCGCGCACCGCCAACGCGCACTGCGTGCACTTCGGCTTCTTTGACGCGCACGACGTGTGGCACTTCCTGTCGGCGACGGCGCTGTTCTTCCTGCTGATGGGCATCCTGACCCTGGACGACGACCTGCTCGCCACGCCTCGCAACAAGATCCCCGTGTTCTGACGGGCACGCGCAGAGCCTTCCCGGCTGCTGCCCCCGCGTCCGGTGGGTGCGAGGTCACACCATGCGATGGCGTCCAGAGGCTCTGAGGGACTCCGACCCACCTGATGTGCGTAGATCTGCAGAGCCGGGGATGTCAGAGCAATACTCAGTCGCTCGCAACCTTTTGCGGTGGCGTCTAGGAGCCTTGGGGGATTCCAACCCATCTGATGTGCGTAGATCTGCAGAGTTCGGGATCTCAGAGCAATATTTAATCGCTCGCGACCTCCGCCAGAGCTGGCGCGGGGCGGGCGTTTGTATTAATTAACTTCAATCTTGTGTTGTTTCAGTGATAACAAGGTGTGATGATTAAATCATCCTTGCCAGGCCCTGTGTGCCCCTGTGTGGTAGCATGATGTAGGGACAGTGGTAGCAGTTTAGGAACAGGGGTATGGCCTCTCCCCCCCCCCGCCATCCCTACAGCTATATTTTGCGAAAAAATCGAGCAGCCAAACGGTGTTAAGTGGCGGGACACGATTCAAAATACCCCCCCCCCCCCTCACACACACACACACTTTGGAAGCCCTTTCGCCCCTGTGTTTTCCACTCAGAGTCAGTTTATCGTGCGATGTTTTATAAGAATAAGATAAGAGTAACGAGCTTTTTGCGAGATGCTTGCTTGCGTGACCCAAAGACCCTTTGCGGGCGTAGTCACGGCCACGTACTGAGTCAAAACTGGATTCCCTACCAGGTGATACTGTCGTAGTCTTTAAAAAGACACGGGTTGTGATGAGTCTCGTGGTTATCTCCGCTTTCTGAAGTCTGCATTGGTAAAGCTGCAGTGATTCAACCGCGTTCGAACCTGAAACGCGTTTCGGGAGAATTGCAGACTTCTAAGCAATACTCGCGCATCGGTTTGAACGCTATGAATGATTGCAATACGAGGCCTCTACTTGCCAATAAGCAAGTGAAGTGAACTTATCCAACTTTGTGTGTGATGCTCGCTGTTTTTGCATGCATTGCTTCTGTGTGCCCCGACATAGTCGGTTGTCACTTGCATGAAAACCATTTCCATGGCTCGCTCCGGCCACTAACTGCGAAGCACCTTTTGATGGACATTTTCTAGCTTTTTACGTAGTGAGCACCGCTGTGACTGTGTGCTGATAATAAATGCGTCAGTCACGGCATCTTGTGGTGTCTTTTGATGGGCATTTGCAAGCTTTGTGCTTACTGAACACTGCCTTTGGCTGTGTGTTGATAATACACGTGTCACTCAAGGCATCTCTTGGTCTAGGGTGGCGCGCCGCGTGCAGCGCTTTACAAGAGACCTCGCGAGTTCCTGACGGCAGAATGCTCCGCTGCGTTACCCTCCCCTTTCCATTCACAGGCAGACTGCGCAAACGCCATACCAACGACACCACAGCACACCCACTTTCAGTCCGCACCAGTCCCTTCTAATCAAGTACTGCTAAGGTTCCGCCCGCTCGCGCCACGTGTGTTCTTCCGATTGCCCGTCCCAAAATCTGTAAAAGACTGTCAACTAGCGTTTCTCAGCATGCCCACAGATGGCGCTAATGTAGTACATACAAAATGCATCCATGGACATTGCGTGCGCCGCAAGTGATTCACAGCAATAAAGCTTCTTCGGTGTGCGGTCTGCGGTTCCAGTTACAGTGAGCGGCTAAAGAGAAAGCGATGGCATGTTGCCGGCCGCGCTAATGAAATGCATCTCGAAGTTCAACTTTGGCAAATTCTGCCTATATCCGGAGATGTCATCAATATGTAACGCTCCTAGCACGGTTGAATAAATCAATGGCTCATTTATTTCAGTAGCAGCATGATCAGCATAAAGGAAATCCGACCTGGGTTTGAACGACGTGTTATTTTTTATTCAAACATGTCCAAACGTAGTTGTTACTTGTCTCATGCTTCGAACCCATGAGACAGATCACCACCAAACCTTCACCATTCAATGTTGCTAAGTCAACAGAAACCCTTTCCAGAAGATTGTGACATTTGGTAACGTCAAATGTCACAAAAATGACACAGTAGGAAAAATATTTGTGCAGACAGCTCCATGCTCCAAACCTATAGAACAGATCTTCTCAAAACCTCCACCAATCGGCGCGCCATTGTCGATATCCTTTTTCGCTCCGAGTGATAACCCTGGGTCAGGTTTAAGGTCACCAGAAAGGCGCAAAACCGCCAATATTGACTGTAGGCAAGCTATTAGTGACCTTTGCCTGGAGCTAAGGTGACCATCTTCTGGTAAAGATAAACTTGACTGTAGTGTATTAGTTGATATCTTTTGTGGTAATCGATCACATCTGCTCTGGGCATGTGGTTTTGTGCAAACTGTTGTTTTGCTGTTCTTGGCGTTTTTTATGTGACCTTTGACCTGATCGAAGGTGATCATTATCTGGAAATGCATTTTATCGTCCATGGCGCATGGATTGGCAAGGGTTTCGTGCTGATCGATTTCAAAAGCTCGGAATATGGGGGTTGTCTGCAGTAAATGTGGCTTTGGACGTTTTTAGCAACCTTTAGTCCGATACAGGGCAGGGTATTTTTTGTACAGGATGGGTAGCGGCTATGATGCATCGATTGGTGGAGGTTTTGTGACGATTGGCCCCACAGGTCATCACCTTTTGGAGAGACCCAGCAGCATCGAATGGTGAAGGGTCGAAGTCGATTGGTCTTACAGGCTCAGAACATGCGGTTGTCAACGGTTTTTTAACCATTTGTCCCCATTTTGCTGGGGAACTCAGCCCCTCCCCAATTAAAATGATGGAAGCAAACCTGATTAGCAGAGATGGCGCTGGTGCGTTTAATTTGGTTCAACAGTGACGTCATAAAGTGGCCGTAGGTCGGTATTCAGCTGTATCAGTATCTCAACGAAGATACATTTTCAGTTACTCCAATGCGCGGATGCGCGTTTGGCGTTGCGCAGGTTGTAGTGTGAAGCTTTGGGAGCGAGCATGGGTCGGAGGTTGAAGGATTTATGGAGATTGATGCATGGCTCTGATTCGGTAAGGGTGATCAGTCAAAGGTAAAGTTAAAAAGTGTATGCAAAGGATTTGGTGGCAAACGTCATTGGATTTATAAATGAAATTTGTGATTGGTAATCAGTTTTATGGTTGTAAAACAATGATTGGCCCCATTATGTCAAGTCAAAGTTCAGTTTTACATCTCCTTACATATGAGAAAATACCCTGCAATGACACAAAACCTAAACAGGCATGTATTTTTTTAATGTTGAGCACAATGGTATGTAATTTTATGTGTTAACCTATATTATAGTGTAAGGGTCCACTAGTGTGACCATGTTGTCCCACCATGTGTAAGTCATCATTGGGCTGGGCTGCCATAAGGATGCATGGTTGTTGCTGCATCACCTCCACCACCAGTTGCTTCTCAGATACTGGAAGTTTTAGGACATGTTTTGGTATCAAAAAATGCAAACAAATATGTGTGATGGTTGTTTTAGATGGTACTGTTTGGTTGTGTGATTTGCCAGGGAAGCGTCCTCAGAAAGCCTCAGAAAGGCTTTGCATTGCCCTTCCCTTCTATCAGGATGAGGCTTGATATTCAACCTAGGAAATCTTCATCAGCCCAGAACATCTTGTTTACATCCAGTAATATTTAAGTGGATGAATTCTGCCTTTAAAAAAATCCTAGGTGGCAAGTGGTGACCTCCAGCACATGATTCAGCATCATAAACTGGAGTTTGGTTAAGTCTGCTGCATGTGTGGAAAATTGTTCTGACCACTCTAAGGATGTAAATTCATTATATCCAATCCATTATCCTGCAAGGAAAACTCTCCCAAGGTTCTAAATCATACAACCTGTGGCTTAAAAGCATTCAGCTAGCTTTATTGAGGCATTGATTGCTTAAGTTTGTTGCACAGAACATTCTGAATGTTTGCATGCAAATGGGACCCTCAGATACTGGCAAAAAATTAAGACCAGCTGTTCTTTGTTGATAATTTAAATGGTGTAAAATGATGGAGCATAGTTTGAGTGGTGATAAGAATGCTTTAAGGCAGTGACACTTCTGTCAGAATGAGTTTTACTGATTTGCATAGTGTAACAAGTTGACAGATCAGATTCAATAACTTAAAAGCACTACTGTGATGCAATGTGGACATTTTGACCTTGCTGCCTCTTTTTGGAGTAGTTTGTTATGTTCTCCTGATAAACCTTCCTTCATAATTATGAAATTATCCACAAAATAACTGTTTTGATCTGTTAACTAAAAAGGAGAGTGTTACTAAACATCTTAGCTGGCACAGTGTACCAGCAGCAAACTTTGCAAGTGCAGTTGCATTGGCTTGTTTGGATGTTAGCACTTCTCCTGTGGGCTATGGAGTGGCTGCATTTTCTTTCCTACATGATTTGAGTTATATTTGAGATGTGGACAATATCTTGGGTTTGTTGGGTTGGGTAGTGAAAGAGTGGCATTTAGATGCATTGTCAAACCCATGATTATCAGCCTGATATGTCTGACATCTAGTATGTATTTTCAGACAATCTGATGCTCATCACTATGACTGATGCTGGCATGGCCATGTGGGAGAATACAACAGAAGCCCATGTGGCTGGAAACAGCACAGAAGGTAGGAAAATGTAAAAACTCCAAACATCATATTGCACTGACATGGCATTGACACCTTCATTTTCAACACAGATGGAGCAATTGAGATGAGAATTGACATCACTCTTGTCATACCTTGTTAGCTCACTTACTTTGACACTGGTAGGCTGTGATGCATGTGTGGCTGATGGCCAGACATCTCCCCTCAGGGCTTAGTAACACCTGGTTATGTTCAAAAAAGTTACCTGGCAAAAGGTTGTATTCATGCTTACACATCAGATCTGGGCCATATCCCCCCCCCCCCCCCCAGCCCCAGAAATTGTACATGCTGCTTCACTTCATCCTGGGTGACAGTATGTTCTGCCTCATTCATGCTAACAATTGTCATTGGAGCATGGTAGTGAAGGTTCTGTTGTATTTTACCCAACTTTTCTTTTTTACCAACATGCTATCTGTCATGTTCATAGGCATGTAGTAGGATACTGTAATATCTGCTTCTGTCATGTTGTTTTACAGTGGTGCCCCCTCCAGTGGTGCCTCCCACCACCAATGGTGATGCCTCCTCCGGTGGTGTCCCCTCTTTGGTGGTGCCCCTTCAGTGGTGCCCCCCTCATTAACTGCCGCCGGGCGTGCCACCAGCGGACGGAGCGGGCTGCCCGCTCTGGGCCGAGCCGCAGCACCTGCTCTTCCAGCTGGCCAACGGCTGCTTCCTGGTGTCGTACGTGTCGCCTAACTCGCAGCGCGGTCTGCTGGTGCTGCATGCTGTGCTCATTCTGGGTAAGAGTCGGGCCACCGCCGCCGGCGTGCACCGCGCCCTTGGGACCTGTGCGTGCATGGTGGGGACGTCGGCGGCTGGCGGTGAGCTGCGTGGAGATAAACCGCCAGAGCGCGAGATTTGCAGCGTGACTGTGAACGGATGTGAGCTTGGGTCTGAATGCGTTCTCATATCACGTAAGTTGTATGGGTTTGGTCGTCGCCGAGCGCGAAGAGTCGGTGGAAATAAGGAGTTTGTGATCGGTTGTTTAATCAAGTGCCTTTGGATGGCCCGTGACATAGGGGGCAGGCAGGGGCCGTCCATATGTTGCGCTGCGTATGGAAGAGGGAGGGTTTTGATGGAGGGTAACCAAAGCGTTACCAGGGTAGGGTATTGGTACTGCGTGACGCTACGCTCAGGCTGAGTTGTAAAACGTGCTTAGTTTGTTGTAATGTTTTAAGACCTCAAAGAGAGTGTCTCGCATTGATATGGGGCTTTCAGCTGGAATAGCCATTTTGTAGATCATTCCAGTTCATCTCACAGCCATGCCCTTTTTAATCCACGCGCGGCTGAAGGGAAGTCAACTTCCCACCTACCCCACGATTTACACTTTCCCCACCGTCACGATTTTTGGGGCACAGCTTATAAACGAACGCTTGCAGCGACTAATTGGACATCCTTTGTAAATTTGAAGTTTTGATATGCCAAGGTCAGCCACTTAGGTTAGGTCAAAGAGGTCAGCTTAAAAAACTGCACATCACTTTTTGTGCGCGTTGTTTGCCATTTCTGAAGGTCACTTAAGTAATAGAGCATGATGGTAACTACGGATTTACATTTCAGATTTTGCGGAAAAGGCAAGCTTGGTGACCTTGGTGAGGTCAATTTATGCTATCTTTCGTAAATGATGCTTTTTGTGTGGTTTTTGGCGTTGTGTATATGAGGAACAAGGTACTAACTCACGTGTGCATCCATCTTATGACCAGAGATTACAAGACAGTAGCCT